GACAAACGAGACAAACAACCATTCACTCTCTCACTCACAATTAGGGACAATTTAGAGTTATCAATTAACCTAACAGTCATGTTTTTGGTGTGTGGGAGGAAGCCGGAGTGCCCGGAGAGAACCCACGCATGCACGGAGAGAACATGCAAACTCTACCTAGAAAGGTCCCCGGGCCGGGATTTGAACCGGCGACCTTCTTGCTGAGAGGCATCAGCTCTAACAACTGAGCCACCCAGTATTTTTTTCCCCCAAGTTTAAAATATAACTTGTCTTTTTTGATTCTCCACCTGTAGGCTAAAACAGTGGTCTAACAGAAGCACATGATTTCTTCTGATATACAGGCCTGTGTTGTTCCAGTCAGAACTGACTGTCCCCTGGAGGCAGCATACACAAGACTGGATATTTTAATGTCGTGGAAGTCATGTGTGTAACCCCCGGCATGTGGGCAAAAGCTTTTCCTTGAAGAACTGTTACCGCACTCATTTTTTGTTGCCCCTCCCTTGAATGAGGTGTGGAAAGACGCCAATGACTGGTAATCAGAATGTACAAAGGTAGAAGATCTTCATGTCGTCATCGAATTGGAATTTGAACTGGTGTGACATCAAGACAGAATACAGACACTTGCTTCCACAAGTGCAACCATTCACTTCACTAACAGACACTTGTAATGTAACATTTGCAGATAGGAACTCATGCACAAATATACACAGTTGGGGTCTCAGCAGTCTGACAGCAGCTAAACTCAACTAGAGAAAGAGCAGAATCCTTCTTTAACCATAAAGCACCTTGTACCAATCTGCAGGATGTTACATTGTTGCATTTAGCAGAGATTAAATTTGCATGCATGACAAAATACTGCCAACCAAAAGTAAAATTAGCAAAGTGTGTCCCAAACACTGTTTTTTTTAGATAGTTGGCAATCTTTAGTTATGAAGCTTGGTAATATAAAAAATTTTCTACATCTATCATATTATGTATTTTGTACATTATTATTGCAGAATTGAAAACAACTTAATGTACACTGTATCAAACAAATTGTTTGTATGGAGCATTGTATATAGACAAGTTTCTATTACTAAAATCACTAAATGTCAAAGCCAAATATTCCTATTGCATGTTTTTTTTTTTTTTTTTTTTAGATTATTCAGAAACAGGTAAAGTCACAAATTGTCTTCACAGCTTTGGATTTTAAAAATGTTTGGACAAAAAAGAAAATATTTAGCCCTTATTTCAACATGCCGTGTTTTGATTGGGAACTTTAAGCCTTCATTAAGAGAAAAAATATTCACTTTTTAATTTCCACAGTACTAAATTTTAGAAAAATCTACAACAAACTGACAAATCCGTGTAACAGTACAAAAAATAAAATTAAAAACTATAAACTTTGCTATTTACGGTTTAAGAAAACTGAAATGATCTAGGTCATACTGTTCTTAGCAGAACACACAAGAGCTGAGCTATGAAGCAGCTTACATCTTCTGCCAGTCTGTCAAACACAGGGGAGTGATGTGCAGGAAACATGGCATCAGTGATACTGGGGGTAACACACTGTGACAAATTTAAGGGTCATATTAAACCAGTCTTCGTATTTAGTACGTAGATGATTGGAAGCCCAAAGGATGCAGAACTGTTCTGAACAACCTGCTTGGAGGATACTTCCAGTGCACTTTTACTTGACTGACATCTGGGTAACAAGATATTCTTTGAATAAATGCAAAGCACATGCACAGAGTACAACATGACCACTGTGCATTCTTACACATGCTTAGAAACACAATGCACAGATCTCTTATGACAGTTACTTTAAATATTGTTTATTATAGACTGATAATTATTAAATTTACATATAACAATATTGGGATCCTTTTCAGTAAACCAGAATTATTTTAACTTTGCAAAATATCTTTAAAAACTTGTGTTTGTAAGTATTCAGTGTTTTCATTTAAGTTTTTGCACCAATACATTTACTTTATAATATCTGCTAATGTCAAATTTAAAGGCTTTGAAACTTGACAGTTCAAATTAGAACATAAATACATCCTGAGCGCTGCAAAACATAATAAAAATGGAAAACACAGGACAAAACACTTTGTATAAAAAAATTGTATAAAAGGAGTCCTTCTTAGAAAAGAGATGACAGCGATTTATACCAAGACTTTAGACCTCAAAATCTATTTACTTCTTCTTGACAACTTAAAAAATTAAAACACAATACACTTACGTGTTCTGTCCTTCTTTACCCACACAAAGCTGAAAATCTTAACAAAACGTCAACTTACGCTCAAAGTCAGAATCGTCATCTTCATCATCTTCTCCATTGGATTCTGTTTGCATTGGCTCCCCATCAAACATTACTCCCTTTCCTGGCTTGCCACCCGGGCTGGACCCATCTTGACTTCTGGAGTCTCGCAAACGGGTGAAGTACTGTACTGCAAAATCCACCAGGTCAGACGGCCTTTGTCGCAGGACCTCCACAGTGTAGCCCTGGAGCAATTCTGTCAACCCCTTTGGTATCTGAAATTCCATGGCCATGGCTGTGTGCGGCTCGTTGGTAAAGTGTATATATCTAAAGGAAAAAAAGATCTTGTCAGTAAATGCAACTGCTGAATATTACTTTGAGCCCTGATGTACATGGTGTTGTTCAACTGCATGACTGTTGATTTAAACAGAAGTGACTTTACTTAATTTAACACAATGCGTGACCATGAATACTCATTATGTGATGACAGGTCAACATGAGAAATAGGATGTACACAGAAAGACTGAGATTTAAAGGGATGCCTGATTAGTTAAAACATTAGACTTTATTTGATAAACATATATTTTAACTGTAAAATAAAGACTGTAAAAATACTGTAGGATGTTTAGTTTTGTAAATTTTTAAAAATATATTTTAACACGGATGAAGCCATTTTATTTACACACAAAGCATTCTGGGTAAATGATGACGTGGATAGGTCCTCGGTGCGAGGCTGCTAGCGAGCTATATCCACCCTGAAGGTTAATCTTGGACAATATCTGAGGATCGACTCTTAAATGAAACCAGAGAGCGTTGACAGAGAGGAGAAGGTAGAAATGACTCAGCCTGTAACTGAAAATATGGATGAAGGACAACAGAGCTGCTTCATGCAAGAAGAACCTCAGCTTAGCCTGGTAGTCTTTGCGCTAGCGCCGATGCTATATTGCCTTGTATGTATTAGCTCAGCGCTAGCGCGACAAACAAGCTAAACTGAGGTCCTCCATCCATATTTTCAGTTGCAGCTGAGTCATTTTTGCGTTCCCCTCTCTGTCATGTGGATGGAGGACCTCAGTGATGAGAGGAGAATGTGTAGCACTGAGCTAATACATHTATAMGGTGATAGCGTCGGAGCTAACGCTAAAGCTAACAGGCTAAGCTGAGGTTCTTCTTCCATGAAGCAGCTCTGTTGTCCTCCATCCATATTTTCAGTTACAAGCCGAGTCATTTCTACCTTCTCCTCTCTGTCAACGCTCTGGTTTCATTTAAAAGAGTCGATCATCAGATATTGTCCAAGATTAACCTTCAGATATAGCTTGCTTCGCTAGCAGCCTCGCACCAATGACCTAGTTGGCATCATCATTTACCCAGAATGCTTTGCGTGTAAATAAAATGGCTCCATCCGTGTAACTAAACATCCTACAGTATTTTTACAGTCTTTATTTTACAATTAAAATAAGTCTAATGTTACAACTAATCAGGGATCCCTTCAAGGAAAAAAAATTAAAGGAAGCATTCCTTGAAGGTCTACAGATCACCCACTTCTTTTTATGTTAAAAGTGTTCAATTAAACTCATCTTTACTGAGAACGGACTGAGTTCTAACTGTTACGGTTAAGCCTTGTAAATGATTTGAGCAATCGTGAGCAACAATAATACAAAATCTTGCAAGAAATGCTAGAGCTCCAAGAAAGTGTTGAAGATGACAGTTACCACAGCAAAATTTAGTTCAATATCTATAAATTTGACTATTGCCACCTTTTTTTTTTTTTTTGTCTGCTAAGGTCCCTTAGCTGTGGCAATCATCTTGAATTGGGCTAACTACAAAAATATTGACTTTATAAAACATCCAGTTGTTTTACTTTTAGAGTTTCATAAAAACTTGTTAGGTGATTCAAGAAATATTTAGCAAACATACAGGGTATGACAAATTTTTAAGCAAGGTTCATGTAAGGTGCAATACCTGAAGAACTTTCAGCTACTAACATATCTAGTAGCTAACCATTGTGTCTGATAAGGTCACTTAGCCGTGACAGTCATCTTGAACTGGACTGACTCGAAAATGCATTCACTTGTATGTGATTACAATCCTATTATTACTTTCTGGGAGTTTTATCAAAACCAAACCAGTTGTTAGTGAGACATTTTGCTAACAACACAAGCACACGTGCACACAGAATTACCCTTTCGCCTTGGGCGCGGGCAATAATGACCTGACAACCAAAAACTGCATACGCTGACATTAAAAGCAAAGTGTAATAACGTGAAGGGTTTTGACATGTCCCTGAGAAGCAACTTTATTTGGGACTAAAGCCAGGGAACACAAAGTTCTCACAGCTGTGGCCAAAAGATACAAGTTTGAAAAAAAGATTGGACACAAAATGACTCAAACTGTCGGGCTTTAGCAACAATTTGGATCGTCAGAAAAGCTGACTTGCCTGAAACTAGCTAACAGATGTAGCCAAGCTAAAAACAGCAGATAGCTTTAGGTTACTCTTCGGGCCACAGATCCTACTCGTCCAAACTTGCTAATAAGTAAAAGGAAAAAAAAAAAAAGAGAGAGAATACGGCTACAGCAAAACGTGCTGCAGTTGAAGCGTTTTCGCCATCTAGCTTTCAAGCTAGCTAAAATGAGCCACCATCGATTCGAGAAACCCTACATCGTTAGCTTGTGTTGTAGTTAAGGCGCACAGGCTGCAAGTGTTCAGCCACATACACGCACAAAAAGCGAAAGCTGCCAGGATAAACGTTGATATGCAAAAGATTAACAGCTCAACGAACCACTTTGACACACACTAGTCACTTACGTGCAATTCTGTCTCACCGGCTAAACTAGCCAGTCGCCTCCTTCTCGGCGTCTTCCTTATTCGCTCGTTTCGCCTCTTCTTTGCCAGTGAGTGTAATTAGCGTCACCCAACTTCGCTAACCAACGAGTTGCTGTTCTTCGTTGCCAGCCAGGTGTACAAGGATGCTGGCTAAGTTCAGAGGGGAGGGGGGAAATACTTGACTTCGTTCGCTGCTGCAGCCCCAACGTCCACGCACTTGGTGAGGGTGGGACTTATCTGTGGCAGTAAGGAAGGAGCTGGCTAGCTGAGCAGGCTAAAGTGGCTGACCAAATGCCAAGAAAGTCCGGTCTTAGCAAGACAGACAAGCCAGCAACAGCAGGTCGATTACACCGTCGCTCCACACTACCATCGGAGTTACCACGAGTACGTCCGAAAAATACAACTTTAAATAACGTCAAATCATCCGTGAAACGGCTAACGGTGTGAAAATCCAGCCCGATTGACCTAAAGGAGGCTGTTCCTTTCCGGCGAGCTAATCCACAGCTCTTCGAACAGGAATAAACCACTGGCTTCAGCGTGAGGAGGGCGGGGCTACTCGATGAGCGCACGCGATTTGACATAGATTGACAGACATTACGACCAATAGGTATAAAGGGTTATCAAATTTAGCCAATTGAATACAAGCATAAAATTAAAGGCGGGATTAAAGGCTGAATGTATGCACTTAAAACTTAGCCACACCCACAAGGGTGGCCTTGAGATTTTCACAGAGATCTGAAGAAATATTGTTTTTTTTAAAAAAGGCTCCAGCAAATCCAGGAGCTTACTATGAATGAAAATGCAATTGTTGCAACTTCTGCGATACCCCATATGTCCATTTCCACACAATAAATAAATAAATAAATAAATAAATAAATAAATAAATAAATAAATAAATAAATAAACAACCCTGTTCAAAATTATATAAAACACTAGTGCTCACAGTTGTATCACTAGTTAGATGCATTTTAAAACAAATTATACTTTCTTCGATATTTCTAACGTGTTTCAAATGTCAGTTCAGATTAGAATGATGCCATTTGTTGTCTCAACATAGTATATGTCAAAATGTAATGTACTTTTTAAATATAATCTTATTTGAATAAATGCCTCCCCTTTTTTCTTAGTGAACATGCAGTTTTCCTTGCTTATCTCACTCTCTCACATCTGATCTTTGATAGTTTCATTCAGCAGAAAAAGAAAAAAAAAACAAACAAAGTACATTGGGGTCACAGTTAACAGTTCACTATTCTGAGAAGTTTGCAAAGAGCCACAACCACTTTCATTTCTATTTCTCATCTTCTATCTGTCACTGAGGTAAAGCTGTTGCCATGGCCACAAAGAGCCCTTATTTAATTCCTTGAACTGGTTTCTGATTGGCTTAGGCCTTTTTTTTTTTTTATTAACGCAGAGCAAAACCAGACCTCTGGGCTCCCCCTGCTGGGAAAACAAACTTAACATAAATAATTTCAATGCCCAAAACAATTGGATTAAAATCAGAGGGTCACTTTTAAAGAAAATGTGTTATTTTATCATAAATAGATTATACTGACAAAATACTCACCATTATGAAATTAAAGAATGGTTCTGAAAACAAACCACATTATCAATGTGACATTTCAAATTCCGAGGGCTTGGATGCTGGATGTTGGTTATTTCTGAAATCAATTAGCTTGTTGTGAAACACACTGTCATGAATAATCATCCCTGTATACACACTGTAGGCTATCACTACATTGCCCATGGGAGTGCATTTTTCCTGCACATCTCTCTCTCTCTCTCTGGAGACTCACAAGAACAAGGCATGCTGCATACTTAACTGAAAGTGACAGATTAAAACTCTGTTTCAATGTGGATTCAGGTCCTGGCTTTCCTAGAAGTGTTACCTTTTGGGAATTGCTAATAATGTAATTTCAAAAGTGTGTCAAAAAGAGCTGTTAGCCTATATTTTCAGAGTAAAACGAGAGGGGAAGAAAGAAAACAAAAAAGATAAAAAAAAACAGAAAACAAAATAGTGTGAAAAAGATAACCTTAATATGTGGGTTATGTGGGTTTTGATCCTTTACTTGGATCTCCAAAAGCTTTTCAACGCATAAAACCTTCCTCTCATCTTCAGATTACAGAAAATAATTAAAGAATTACCTATTTAGGTGAAAGAAATACTTACATTGGTGATAGTCACTTAATAAAATACATAATCAATGACACTTATCTAATTTTCTTGCTTTTTTATATGTATATATACAGTATATAAGCTGATACACTAAGTTTAGGTGATACATAAATGTAGAGTTTTTATGCTCATTCTCAAGCTTTTTGCTCAAACAACTTGATAATGAAATAGTATTTCATTCATGTCTCGGTTCCCTGAGCACCTATTCTTATAAACATTCACACAAATCACATTCATATTAACAGCAGTTTTTAGTCAGTTTTATGAGTCAGTGCTGCCACCTACTGGTTAACATGAGGCATTTAACCATTCAATATTTGAGAAGCTGAGCTCAGGTTTTCTAATATTTATATTTATTCACATGTTTATTAAAATGACTAAAATTCATTTATAAATATTACGGCATTAAAAAATTACTTTTCTAAACCCAATTTTACCAACTGTGGAATGTGGCATTAAAAAAACTAAACCAAAATGTCCAATAATAATATCATTAATAAAGTCTTAAGTAAAAATATCATTTGATTTACAAAAATAATTTAAGGGCTAGCAGTTCTTGAAAGTATGCTCTTGTCACCTTTATGCCAGAGTCTTATGTTGAAAAACTAGTTGTTTTGGTCAAATACTGACATTAATATGAAGCGAAATCTCATGAAATACAGTATCTTGAAATAAACTCTTGCTCAGAGTATGTGTTATGAATCATTCAGCTACATCGAATTCGAAACGACAAATGTAAAATTGATGTAAAATATATGTTTTACAAACACCCAAATCTGTCAAAATAAGAGTAAAGGTTCAAATCCTGCAGAATTCTTACACCAAAGAAAAGCTGAATCCTTCCCTGACATTTCTTAGTTTCTCTGTGAAACATCATAAAAGCCGCAGCGGATTCATTTGTTTTGTAAATGAATAAATACAAAACTAGCTTGAACATTTAACATGACAATGGGAAATGATCTCATTAAAGAAAAGAAACACCAACCTCAACAGTTAAACAGTCGTGGTTTATTCAGAAATAAGAGTATTGTGGGCATTGTGAACAGATTAGCAATAAATATTTTCACATTAAGAAAGTTAAAAGTGGTTTTATTATTACATTTGATTCCTATATACAACATCACACCTGATGCAAACTGTCAAATGCTAACCTGTGAAGTGATAACAGTACAATGCATTCATGAAACTCTACAGGATGATTTTATTCACCTGAATTTGAGTTAAATCATAGTTTAGAGTCCACTGTCTTCAAACATATGGAAAACAACAGATGTCACATTATAGATGGATATTAGCACTGAATGGTGTAAAAAGAGTGTCATTTAGTGTGCAGCCTGTTAAAACAAACAACACAGAACTTTACAAGGAAGACTCGGGAATGCCAAGATTCAACATAACCCCTTGAAAGTCAGGACCCCTTTGCTTCTGTAAACCCCCCTTTTGAGCCAAACAATAAAGTGTATCTGTGCACAAACATGCTAGTGTTTGCTTTATTTCAATATTTTGCTTTTTTCCCCTTTTTAAAAGGTGGTAGTGACATTTAACATCTTAATGGAATGATCAATTGACGTATTTTTTATGTTTTTTGTACATTTAAAACATTTTCATTAAGATTTTTAGAATAATTAGGATTGCATTGATACATAAAAAAAGTTTTTCTTAACAAAAGGGCAAAATAACAGTTTACCACCAAAATGTGAAATAAAAATGTATCTCCAGTTGTGCCAAAAACAAAAATATTTATTGTTCCATTCATCCAATTTACACATTACTTCTTAAAAGGGCTCATTAATGTCATGAACACGTGTCAAAAATCCTAAAGTGAGGAACAAAATCTGCAGGTTTTTTTAATATTGATTATTAATATATTCTGCAAGCAAAACGACTTCATGAACAGCTGCCAACTACCACATGGGTTTGTTTACTTTTAGAAACAGCCAAAATGACTGAAAATATCCATTTTCATGCAAAGAAATAAATGTTTCATTTTTACTGACATAGAAAAAAAAGTAAAAGTCAAATTCTTCCACCTATTTTATCATTATATAAAGACCAAAAAAAACTTGTGTTTATTGTCAAGTATCAAACAAGTTTCTTTTTAACAGAAATGATAACATGCACATTCATTAGCATGATAAGGCACAAACACAACATATACATATGGTCACAAACATCAGTTCAATTGTGTGTCATTAGAAACAAATCAAACCAGTTATTTTCCTGTTAAAGCCTTCAGTTTGGTCTTTACTAATTTAACCTAAATGTGTTCCGTTTGTTCCCAAACTGAAAGTTTTAAAATCAGATGGAGTAACTAAAATAGAGCTGTCTGATAATAAATTCAAGTTGAAACTGAAAAGAAGATCAAGACAGTAAACATTTCGCAGTGTATGTTTTGTCCCGAAGTAAATAAAGTAAAAATATGAAACAAGTGATGGTTTTGACATTCAAAAAGATCTAAATTTCCAATTTTTTGCATTCATAAATCTCACAGGTGTATATTTGTTTCCATACAAATGACCTCAGAAACAATACATGTTTGTGAACCTGTAAACAAGTTTCCATGTTTGAAGGCGTTACAGCAACACAAATTATAATAATAATTACTGAATTATCATCTAAAAAGTGTCGTTTTTCAATGAGTCGTGAGTTTTTAAGTGTCACAAGTAAAAACTCTTTCTAAAAGATGTGGAAATTACACACATTCTTGACTACAATAGATTAATAAAAACAATCCTTTATAAAATCAGCAAGGTTTGAATTGTATTTTGTTCCGTTGTACATTATCAAGCACTAAAATACAATCTGCCCACTAGAAACACAAGTTAAACTCGATTAGCCTGGATCTTGTGTATGATGCAAACGTATTTGTCTTCATTTATTGGAGAAGTCACATTCAACTCTCGCTAACAGCTTTTCACTGATCAAACTCATGCAAACATTGCACTGAGTCTTTCCAGTACAAGATAATCTCATAAACCTGTAGAAAGACTGGCCGGCTCCTTTTAGTCCTACGTTATATATAACAGTTCTTTTCTTAGAAACAGTCCTCAAGTCAAAAAAAAGAATGAGGGAATAAAGACCCTATTGTCAAGTCAGCAGGCCAAGTGAATTTGTCTTCATTACAAAAGCTACAAATCAGTCAAAGTGCAGCTGCCATCTGTCAGTATTTTCTCATCTTTGCTCAGTAGAACCTCTGTCTTGACACAGATCTTAACATTTGAGTGGGTTACAAGCTATTAACAGCATTTCATGTGTGGCTATGTTTGTATGGGAATTCTGCACATGAATGCACATCAGTGCAAAGAAACATTGGAAAAAAGAAATGTCTCAACAGGATGTGAAGACTGTGTTGAATATTGCACATTAATGAGAAAGTGGTTGATGCTGAATTTCTTGCACCACTGTTCAGTTAAAAGACGGAATGAAAAAAAAAACTGAAAAACGGTGCAAAATGTCCATAAAACTTGTCTTATTTAATTTGAAGGGTTAAACATTTGAATTCGGCTCATGCAGCTCTGATTATTCACTGTGAGCTGATGTTGCTGCTTGTGCAGCTTCTTATCTCAGCGTTCACACAAAAGGGAAATCCTCGGAGCAGCGAATGGACAGCAAACCCTGAGCGCAGACCCATCTGCCATACTTCCCACAGAATTAATGAAGGCGTTCACTTTTACTGAGTGATTTTTTTTTTTATTTTGCAGGGAAAGGTAGAAAAAAAAAGTGCTACCATGGTTACTGTCGTCGCCTTTCCTCTCTCTTTTTTTCCCCTCCCCTCCTCACTGCGTCTCGATTTCCCTCCTCGCTCAGAGCAAACAATAGCAGTAATATCCACTCACGTAGTCTGACAGGTAGGGCTTTTTTTAAAATCACACAGTGAGCTGAAGTCATTGTGCTGATGTGGTGCAGCAGGGGAGCCATTAGGAGTTTGAATGCGGTCGGGACTGTGAAGCCTTTGCGTGTGCTGCATCTGCTGCAGTCTAATCAGGACTAGATTGTATCTGAAGGGCTTGCAGTCTTGCTCGGGGTTGAGGGTCTGACTCCTGCAGAGAATCAGGAATACATTACATTTCCAGCTATATCTGCTGTCTGCAGCCAGACTGATATCATTTCTTGTTTGTTATGGCAGAATTTTACATAAAAGCCCTTATAAAATAAAGAAGGTAATGTAAGGCATGTAACTTTTTCCTTTTATTTATACTTTTTATTTTGCCCTTTATTTGGCCTGCCACCTTCTGTGGCAGAGTTTGAGACTAAGATTATATTTAGAAATTTAAAAAAGTTAAGCCATTTTCTTCAAACCTTAAAAACACAATGCTCCTGTAATATTATATCGTGCTCAGAGTATGTGTTGAGGATGACTCTCAGCTACTACCACATCACATTTTAGCTCATTATTTGTTAAACTGACTGCATTGTGAGCTTTTTGTGCTTTCTAACAGCATAGGGTTGTCATGTTAAATTAGATTGAGTCTAAAAGGTAATCAGCTACAGCTTTAAATTTAACAATTACTTACAAAACGTTTTTTTTTTTTTTTTTACTTTGCCCAGTGGTTCATGAGATATTTTGCTAACAAATATTCACCTTTGATCTTGTGTTGGTGGGTGACAATACAAGTCAACAATCTAATAGCTACCAGAGCTCTGAGTTAAAGAAGCACTTTGGCACACAAAAAACAGTGAAATCCAGCTTCTAACTGAACAAGAAACAACTGGAAGGCAAAAGAACAAAACATCTGAATATAAATTTAAATATAACATGACTACAATGTGTCATGAAGCCTGTTGCTGCTCTGATGGTTCACCATTTGTGGCAGTGTGGGTGTCTGCGTACAAGATGTCTCAATCTGTAGCAGAACAAGGGTGTAAGTGATGGACAGAACAAAGAGCGCTTGTTACCACGTTCAGCAAAAAAATAAAAATAAAAAAATAAAATAAGTGGAAGAAAGAAGAACAACAGATGTAATGCAGTGAAGTGAAAAAGTGAAAGTCTGACTGACTTCTTCATTCTATCCTTCCAGCCGGGGTCACCCTGGTGATCAGACACGTTGATGGAAGTTAATAAAACTGTGGGACCGGTGCTGAGACTCAACATACCAGTCACCATGGATCCCACACCGTGTCCCCTACACTTTCTGCACCGGCTGATGATTAAAGAAACACAAACTAAACGAAGCCAGTGGGTTCCCTATCCCCCTGTGTTCAATAGAACAAACATGAGGCCTACAAAAGGGACAAATGTAAGAAAATGACCTAAAAAAAATCTAAATGTTTTATCCTCCATGTTTGGAACTGTTGCACAACATTAAATTTTGGACTCTGGAAGCTTTCACATACTCGATTACATGCAGCACTATCAGTTAGCAGTGGCTGCTAATTACAGTCTGCAGAACAATCCATAATAACGATGCATCTCTGTCTAGCTGATAATTAAAGAGCTATAAAAATGACAGTGAACTTATTGCCATCATATTTAAAGTCACAGCTGACTTCAGGCGTAACAGAACTGCTTCAATTGGTCCTTTAGGTATAGATATCTGATATAAAGATGTTTCTTTTTGTCAAAGTTTAATATTTATTAAAGGTCTGCCATTCATTGATGGATTTCTTCATGGGTTTCAGATTAAAAGTATTACATGTTGACAACTGACAGAGTTATAG